AAGACGTTCCCACTTCTCGAGGCGGAAGTTCAACCGACATGCGATAAAAGAAGATGAAGCGTCAAAAGAATTCGAATCGTCAGGAGAATTCGGATCACCAAAGGATTCGAACTTTCTGATAGCCTCGGCGTACAAGGACAAGCTCGGGACAAGGATTGAACCGTTCGAACTATTAATCATGAAGCTCATCACTTGCTCCTCAAGACAACGAGCTGGGGGGCTAACTGTTGGGGTCGGATTCCACCCGCGTTAAGTCCGAGCTATGACAACGCCTCGGGACCTATCACCAAATCAGCTCGGGGAACTCTGACCAAACAGCTCGGAATCCCGCACGGATCGGTTCGGATATCCTCACTGCCAGTTCGGGACTGCCAACCAACTTGGGTACCCGAGCCCATCGATCCAATACCCGAGCCCGACTCGGACAACCGAGCTTGTTCACGATTCAGTCAACCGAGCCGATTCTTTTCGACGTCTGAACGATCGAACCCATCAACGGTTCGGGTTCCTCCTACGAATACCCGAGCCCGGCAAATATTTCGGCTCGGGCATAATGTCACATTGTTTATCCGAGCCGAACATCAGGAAGTCTCCGAATCACCCGAGGCGAGACCGTAAGACACCCGAGGCGAAATCATCAACCGCCCGAGGCAAAAACTTAGTAAATATTCGTCTTCAAAGTACCATTTCCAAGCAAGGCATCATTTCCGAAAAAGAAGGATCATTTCCGATAGACCTGGAAATGATAAGGAAGAATCTCGAAGGATCAACTCAAATCGGGAAATCTTCCAAGAAACTCCGAAGAATAAGGAAATTATCCCAAAATCCGCGATATTCTAAGCCGACTTCAAGATAAATGGAAATCTTCCGAGAATATCGCTGGAGAGGCGGTTTATCATCCCTATATAAAGAGACTAAAAGCTTTCGCAGAAGGGAGGCAATATCACTCTAGAATTTACATTACGCAAAGCTCTCACAGCACAAACATCTTTTTCTCTTACGATCAAACTCTTGTACGATCAAACTACTCTTTTCATCAATAAAATCAAGAACACCATCTTTGGTTACTATTGTTTTCTGTTGTTCTTTGAGAATTCTCGCAAATCGTATCCCTAAATAAAAACCCTAGACAAATCTCGATTGTGTTAGTTTCGACTTCCACAGTTCGGCCTGAAGTTGTTGTAGCCTTTGTTGTAGCCTCCTTGGTTTTGCACATAGCTTACTTCTTCTGACTGGAGAGTCTCCCCATCCTGGACTTGGAACATCTCATCTTCACAGAGAAAATGGACTTGTTTCTGTTGCACAAGGAGTAGCTTGTCCAGCTTGTCATTCATGGCCTTCATGTCCTTGCGGTGCTTCTCCTCTAAGTCTGAACTTCCTCTGATGGTTCTGTCATAATCTTCATTGTAGCTTCCATCAGACTGAGCTAAATTCTCTACCAGCTCCCATCCTTCTTCAACTTCCTTGTTCAGGAAATTCCCGTTGGATGTTGTATCCAGGAGCATCCAGATCTTAGGGAGAACTCCTCTGTAGAGAGTGCTCAGGAGTGAGGCTTTGGAGAAACCGTGGTGAGGACATTGATTCTGATATCCTCTGAAACGCTCCCATGCTTCACAGAAAGTCTCAGCATTCTACTGAGTGAAGCTAGAAATATCATTCCGGAGTCTTGCAGTCCTGGAGTTGGAGAAGAATTTAGTCAGGAAGGCTTTCTTGCAGTCATTCCAGGAGGTGATGGAGCCTTGAGGAAGTGATTTTTCCCACTGGTGGGCTTTGTCTCCAAGAGAAAATGGAAACAAACGCAACTTGAAGCCATCCTCACTGACTCCATTGATCTTAGTTAGGCTGCAGAGCCTATCAAACTCGTCCAGATGATCTAGTGGATCCTCCATTGGGAGGCCGTGAAATTTGTTGCCCTGAACCATGGCATTGAGACCACTCTTGATCTCGAAGTTGTTGTTCTGCATTGGTGGAGGCACAATGCCATTGCGCTGATTGTCATTTCGTGGAGCATCGCCTCCACCAATGTTGTTTGGCAGTTCTGGGTTATGCTCATCAGCCATAGTGTCTGTGTTTAATTGCTCTCTTAACTCACGAGCAATACGGTCGATGTTCTCGTTGAAAAGCAGGTTCTGATGTCCTTTAGATCGAGTTTGCATACAACAGGTATCAGCCCAGTTTGAGCAGAGTAATCAGAGATAGTACCTGAAACACAAAAACAAAGAGAAAGACACAGCGTTAGTACCCTTGTAAAAAAAAATCGAACTTGATCTTAACGTTTCCAAAAATCTCAAATATAGCAAAGATGACACCCAAATGGCAACTGCGCCAAATTGATAATAGATTTTTTTTACGATCAATTAATCCTAAAACACTATCATGTCGTTGTAGTATTTTAGGTGTCAATCCACTTTAGGTGTGATGCAAACAGATGAGATATGATCAGAAAGCACTAAGTCAAGCCAAGCATGAATTGGTTGTTTTTCTAACAGTTCTAGTGATTGATGCAGAAAACAGTAAATTTGCAGAAATGGACTGCTATACTCGATCACAAGGCTCACTGCCAGAAGGGAGGCTGTGATCGAGTAAACTGGTCCAAAAACAGACAATTATCAAATTCAATAGCAAGTAACAGAGAAGGTGAATGAAGCAGGTAAGCAAACAGATAAATCAATTGGATAAGAAACTCCTAAGGATGGGGTAATCGAATAGTGTGGACTCCATAATCAATTCTGATGGTTAACAATTCTCAATGAAGCTATCCCTAGACAACAGGTTCAACAACAGACTTACTCACTCCCGTGAAACAAATCCTCAAGCAAAGCTAGCCCAGACTAATTCCCATTATCGGAATCTAACTATGCAGGCAATAAGAACCGACTGTTAAAGTCAATAACCGCTCTAAACGGCCAATCCCTTGGGATAGAGACGATTATCACTGGAATTAGTAGATCAAGCATTCCATCGAACACCTTTTGGGTGCGGGAATGCTTTTGATCGAATTCCAGTTGATCAAAAAGGAATAAGCAGTAAACACAACTAATCCAGAAGGGATTCAATAAAACTACATTTAACCATCAGAATCGACTAAGGGTCTCACATCTACTCTATCCCATCCTCAGAAATCCTAGTCACTACTCAGACAACATGCTCAAAGACACAGAAACGATTGATGATTGCATAACTTCTAAGATTAAAGGAAATAAAACAGAAATGAACAAGGAAACGAAAGCGAAATCTCAATAACTTAGAAGAAACGAAAATACAGAGTTTCAGAAGCAAAAGTGGCTACTGAACGAAACTAGGTTGCGAGTCTAAAACGTAATTGAAAAGAGAATGTCCCAGGGAAAACCCTTAGAGACTTATTTATAGTAAAAACGATAAAGATAAGTAAGTGGGCTTCGAGTCCGCTCAACAGGCCCATGGAACGTTGTGGTCGAGTAGATGGGCTCAAAGTGGGCTTCATGGTCGAGCGTGAATCGAAGCCGCGATCAAGTGGTTCCTTCTCTCCTCTTCTGTTTCTTATGCTCAGGTTGTCTGGTTGAGTGCGGATTGATCAGAGGGTCGAGGTGGTGATCGAGTAGAATGGGTGGTGGCGTGGTCTGGACTGCTTCTTCTCTCTTGTGATCGAGTATGTGGGTAGACTGTTAGGACGGACTGCTTCTTCAACCTTGCGATCGAGTATAACAGTGAACTGGCAGGATGGACTGCTCCTCTTCCTCTGTGATCGAGTATAAGGGTCCTGATGGTCTGCTGAGCTGACTGCTTCCCTCTCTGCTACTGGTGATCGAGTATAAGGGTCCAAATGTGACTTTCAGCTCTGTTTTTCCTCTTTCTGAACACCAATAGCTCCGAAACACCTGAAACAACTCCAGAATGCAAAATGCATGCAAGACTAATATTAGACACACTTAAACATGCAAATTATGCGAAATGATGATGAATGCTATGAAAGATGAACGAAACTAGACTCGAAATGGTGATAAATGGATGTGTAAAACATGCAAATTATAGACATATCATATATAAAGGGAAAACGGAAGCAAAGATGCGATCTAATCCTAAGCAAAGATATGATCTAATCTCGAAAGATTTAGACTTATCCCGAGTTTAAAGAAATCAAAACAACGAAATAATGAGATGATGCTAACTTGTCGAACAAGTAATACTAAACCGGTCCGCTTGTTCGACGGTCGTAAACCGGTAGGATGTACGCTACATCAGCCGTAGCAATGACAGCCTCTTTAATGGCGCGGCTCGTCGCCGCATTGATATTTGTCAGTTTGTCAAGTCAGAAACGACGTTGCTTTGATTTTGGCTGTAACATCCTCTTCTCACGACAATAGCTGGAGCATCTTCTGTATGCTCTAATGGGTAAGTTTATGTAGTTTTGTTCTACAAATAATGTTGATGATTACGAAATTATAGCAATTGGAATTCATAAATTGCTTTTTCTTCAATCATAAACACTGTCGAAGAAGTGGTGATGGATTCAATATTCAAACTTAGTGGCAGTTAATTAACAAATGACGAGACTGCATCTAAAATAAGAAATTGCACATAAGCTGGTAAAATATATTTTAGTTTTTTTTTTTTTTTAAAACCCCAAACGCAATCTGTGTACATTGAGGTGTTTGGACATCAAACATACAATCCGGTACATGGAGACTTTGAAGTTTTTGTTTGCCCAAAACAATGAAAGGGATGTGTTCGTGGGTCAAAATTCATCTGACTATTGGGGCAGCCACATGGATACAGAAGTCGTATCCTTCACATGACTTAACTTAGCATTTATACTTCGTGGTACAATTATATTCGTCATAAGCCAGTCATATATTATCCGATTATGAGTAATGTTTCCAAAGACCTTCACCGTCACTTGTCTTTTTATGCAATTTCAAAGTAAACGATAGTGATCACTCACTTAACGCATGTCACATGACTTTTAAGTGTGTACATTAACAGAGACTTTGACTTTTTTTATTTATTTATATATATAAATATATATTCATTTCTTGTTGAATTATTTATTATAACCGTGGAATTATTTGGCATTGAGCAACTGAACTCACACTCTCAAATTGGCTTGGAGTTCATTTCTTTTGCTTTTTATCTTACTTGCAATGGAAGGGAAGTTTTTCTTGGGCCAATACTTGATATGGGTGATGTTACTGTTGGGGCAGCTACATGGATGCAAAGGCTGCATTATGAAAGAAAGAGAAGCTTTGTTGGAGCTTAAGAAATACTTGATGTCAAGGAGTCGAGAATCAGGGCTCGACTATGTTCTCCCTACTTGGACTAATGATACAAAGAGCGATTGCTGCCAGTGGGATGGCATTAAATGCAATCGTACAAGCCGGCGGGTTATTGGGCTTTCTGTTGGTGATATGTACTTTAAAGAGAGCTCTCCTTTAAATCTTTCTTTGCTCCATCCCTTTGAAGAAGTTCGAAGTCTGAACTTATCTACTGAAGGATACAACGAATTTAATGGCTTCTTTGATGACGTAGAAGGTATACCACACTTCACTGCGTTTAGTTTACCTTTGTAGTTTTTTTTTTAATTTTGAGTAACGTTAAAGAAAGCGTTAGGCGCTAAGCAAGTGGTAATCGGGGCCTAAGAGATTTAGGCCGTTTAAACGTTTGTAAAATAAAATATTTAGAATATGATATTATACATAAAAAATATATAAAAATATCTATTAGAAAATAAAAATATTAAACCTATATAAAAATATCTATTAGAAAATAAAAATATTAAACCGTACACAAAAATTAGACAAAAAATTTATAACTATGTATTTTTATTTTCTAATAGATATTTTTAAACCATACATAGTTACATAACATTTGTCTAATTTTTGTGTACGGTTTAATATTTTTAAACAAATGTTTTGTAACAAAAATTAAACACAAAAATATTGTTAGACAAAACATTTATAACTATGTATTTATATACAAACAATATATGAACATTTATAACTATGTATATAGAGATAAAACTCAGTTGAATAATAAAAATACATTAAAACGAGGTTTGTGCGATTTTAGGCGGTCGGGTCGTCTAGGCGTCACATAAAGGCGATCGCCTAGAACACTTTTTAAAACACTGATTTTGTGACACACCTACATCGAAAATACAAAATTTTAGATCTTAATTAATTATATATGGCTGCTGTCTATATCACAACATTACAACCGTTTTATATTAGAGTCTCTACAATTAATCTCTCTGAATTTCATTAGAGTCTCTTATTCTCTGATTTTTCGTTTGCAGGTTATAGAAGCTTAAGTAGATTAAGAAACTTGCAGATCATGGATCTCTCAACAAATTATTTCAACTACAGCATATTTCCTTTTCTTAATGCCGCTACATCGCTTACAACTATTTTTCTCACGTATAACGAAATGGATGGACCTTTTCCTATTAAAGGTGTGTTTTTCGATTTCTAACGAGACATCTATGGAGCAAAACCAAGTTTTAGTTGTAATTATTCTTATACTCTGTTGGACTATCTTTCAGGACTAAAAGACTTGACAAACTTGGAACTGCTGGATTTGAGAGCAAACAAATTAAAAGGCTCCATGCAAGGTAGCATCTACGTCAATTGGAACTATAAACAAATTTAACTCCGTACTTTATTGTATAATTGGTTTATATAAGATTGGTTAACTTATGCCATCTCATATCCACATTAATTAATTAGAGGTGTCTTGCTCTGTGTCTCTTTGTCTTGCGGCAGAGTTGACTCATCTGAAAAAGCTGAAAGCTCTTGATTTAAGTTCGAATAAATTATCCACCTCAATGGAATTTCAAGGCAAGCTCACTTTCTTTTTAAAAGATTTTCTAGTATATGAATGGAGATGAATATACCTTATTTATATATTGATAATGATCTGTCAAGTATAATCTTTTGGTCTTTCATTGTTTCAGAACTAAAAAATTTGATTAACTTGGAAGTCTTGGGTCTTGCTCAGAATCATGTGGACGGACCTATACCAATAGAAGGTGAACTTTATTTTTTAATCTTCAGGCTAAGATTATGTATGAGAACTTCTCGAGAGGAAGTCAAATTACTCTTATTATTCTCATTATCTTTTTGTTTCCAAACTATCTTTTTTGCAGTATTCTGTAATATTAAGAATCTGCGAGAGCTCGATCTCAGAGGAAATCATTTTGTAGGCCAGCTTCCTATTTGTTTAGGTAGATTGAAGAAGCTACGGGTTCTTGATCTCTCATCCAACCAACTAAGTGGAATTCTACCATCTAGTTTCAATAGCCTTGAGTCTCTCGAATACCTATCATTGCTAGAGAACAATTTTGCTGACTCATTCTCGCTCAATCCACTCACCAACCTTACAAAGCTCAAGGTGTTCAAACTTTCATCAAGATCACATACGATACAAGTCAAGATGGAGAGTACTTGGCAGCCGAAATTTCAACTGAGTATTGTTGTACTAAGATTTTGCAGCTTGGTGGGAATCCCGTCCTTTCTCGTGTACCAAAAGAAGTTGCGTCTAGTTGATCTTTCGAGCAACAAATTATCTGGAAATATTCCTACCTGGCTGCTGACGAATAATCCAGGACTTGAAGTCCTACAGTTGCAGAATAATTCATTTATCAACTTTTCAATGCCTACAATAGTGCATAATTTGCAGATCTTGGATTTCTCAGCAAATAATATCGGGAAGTTCCCTGATAAGATGGATCATGCGCTACCGAATCTGGTACGTTTAAATGGCTCGAATAATGGGTTCCAAGGGTGTTTCCCAACGTCTATTGGTGAGATGAAGAATATATCATTCTTGGATCTATCTAATAATAACTTCTCTGGGAAGTTACCTAGAAGCTTTGTCACAGGTTGTGTTTCACTAATGTTCCTGAAGCTCTCTCACAACAAATTTAGCGGCCATTTTCTCCCAAGAGAAACAAACTTCCCTTCACTTGACGTGTTGAGAATGGATAACAACTTATTTACGGGGAAGATCGGAGGTGGTTTGCGTAACTCCACAATGTTGCGGATTCTAGACATGTCCAACAATGGTCTCACTGGTGCTATTCCAAGATGGTTATTTAAATTTTCTTATTTGGATTACGTATTGATATCCAACAATTTCTTAGAAGGTACGATACCACCTTCTTTGTTGGGAATGCCTTTTCTTTCGTTTTTGGATCTTTCTGGAAACCAATTTTCTGGAGCCTTACCGTTACATGTTGATAGCGAGCTCGGGATATATATGTTCCTACAGAACAATAACTTCACAGGGCCAATCCCGGATACACTATTGCAAAGTGTTCAGATACTTGATCTGCGGAACAATAAACTCTCTGGGAGTATCCCGCAGTTTGTTGATACAGAGAGCATAAATATTCTATTGTTGAGGGGGAACAATTTAACAGGATCTATTCCAAGGGAGCTTTGTGATTTGAGAAACATTAGACTTTTAGATCTCTCGGACAACAAGCTCAATGGTGTCATACCTTCATGCCTGTCTAATTTGTCATTTGGACGCTTACAAGAAGACACAATGGCTCTCAACATTCCTCCCTCTTTTCTTCAAACAAGCCTTAAGTTGGAATTATACAAATCCACTTTTTTGGTAGATAAGATCGAAGTAGACCGCTCTACCTATCAAGAAACTGAAATCAAATTTGCAGCGAAGCAAAGGTATGATTCTTATAGTGGAAGATCTGAGTTCAGCGAAGGAATTCTTCGTCTTATGTACGGGATGGATCTGTCAAACAATGGATTAAGTGGTGTTATCCCAACAGAGCTTGGAGGTCTCTTGAAACTAAGAACCTTGAATCTATCTCACAATTTCTTGTCGAGCTCTATACCATTTAGCTTCTCCAAACTGAGGGATATGGAGAGCCTTGATCTTTCTCATAACATGTTGCAAGGAAGCATTCCTCATCAACTCACTAGCCTTACTTCTCTTGCTGTGTTCGACGTGTCTTACAACAACTTATTAGGAATCATTCCCCAAGGAAGGCAATTTAACACCTTTGAAGAGGACAGCTACTTAGGTAATCCTCTGCTTTGTGGACCACCGACCAGTAGAAATTGTGAGACTAAGAAAAGTCCAGAGGAAGCAGATAATGGAGGAGAAGAAGAAGATGATGAAGCTGCTATCGACATGGTGGTGTTCTATTTTAGTACTGCATTAACTTATGTGACTGCGTTGATAGGCATTCTTGTACTTATGTGCTTTGATTGTCCTTGGCGTCGAGCATGGCTCCGCATTGTCGATGCTTTCATCGTCGCTGTGAAAAATATGTTGCCTTAGAATTGTCATTTTGAGTTCAGATCAAAAGCTTGAATCCGTTGTGTTTGAGTAAGTAGTATATATGTGCTTTGGATTACTACAAATGTATTTGATTTCAGTTAACTTATTTTGTTTTGGTTTCTGTCATTCATCACGGCTTCCGCCATTTGCCGCCGCTGTACTCCCTTTTCCTATCAACCTCCCCGACTAATCTCATTCTGTGTGTCGACGGAGTTCACGGGAAAAATACTTCTTGAAGGCCAATCTCTAATTCAAACTTCAAAACGAAGACGTTTTAGGTTTGGCTAGCTCTGTAAGAGCAAGTCCAATGGGCAATCTTTAAGTGATATTAGGACTGAGTCCTTATGAAAATGAACCAAAAATAAATGAAAAATGTGAGAATTGTTTAGGTCCGTTTCTTAGTTTAGGTTTTTTCTTGATTGTAAGAAACGCATACGTGGCACGATTTGATTCGTTGGTAAAGAGAGAAAACAAGGTTAAGTTACCAACCCGTCGACACCTTTCCCAAGCCGTGGAACCGCTCGTTTCTATGCTCCGATTTGATTCGTCTGAATCTCACCATGAGGCTGATTTACCTGCTCTCCTTAACCTCGTCGTCAAAGACGAGAAGTACGTTCTTCTTCCTCTCTCTGTTTTTTTCCAATTCGAATTTGTTCTGTTTTTCGTATACTAATCTGATTAGTGAATTCTTAGCTTGGAATTAGGTAGATTAAATCAAATCAAATACTATAAGAGATTTCGTGATTTCATTAGAAACTAAAAACTAGGTTAGTGGCAATCTAATGAACCTACTCTGCTTGTTCAATTGGTTAGTGGCTTTCGAAGTTTGATTGCCTAGGTTTCATTTAGTCTTTAGCCTTAGCATGCATTGTGATGCATCAATTGGCCCTTTTTGCATCACAGTTCTGGCCCAGCCTCTAGTTTACATCTCCATTGATTCATTATTTCGACTCATGTTCATTGAACTGCTAGTGTGTTTGGTTTCATCATGACTGTCGCATTGCCGTAATTTGGCTTCAAATGACCACAAACATTTGTATATTCATCTTGTTTCTATAAGTCTGTAGAGATGTTATTGTGTAATGTGGATTATCCTATGACTATAACTTAAACCTTTTGGTAGTACCTATCTTGGGTATTATTACTGACATATGTTGGTGTGTGTTACAGATTGGTAACAGGATCATTGGTAACAGGATCATAAGGAAGAGATTCATGTGCGTGTGGAGCATGTGCAGCAGTCAGATGCGTAGAGGAGTTCAAACGTCCCGTCGGTGTTGAAGTCAACAAACAGGTCTAATGATGAACTCTCACATCCCTTTAACTATTTCTCCTTTTGAATAAGTTTTGGACCTTTTTGTGCTATTAAGTATATGTGCGATTGAGTAAATGTTAGTAGAATGTTAATATTATTCTATTCTATAATTGAGCTCAGATTTTGAGTTTTATCTCAAAGATCTTATCTTCCATTTGACCCTTTTTTGCAACACAGTTTTATCTCAACAGATTCAGTAAAGACTTGAGTTCTTCTTCTTTCATTTGCAGGGTGCATATTTTTGTGAGTGAGAGACATGTCTAGTGTCAAATTAGCCATGTTCGTGTGTCAAAGTGTAGGCCATGTTCTCAGTATCTTCAAGAAGAAGAAGATGTTCTTTCTTGTATAGTTTTTGTCTTTGATGTGTTTTCAAATGAGTCTTGTATACTTTGTCATATTATTGTCATGAATCTTTGTTATTCAAAACGTGTTTATCAAAAATGTATCAAAAACTTGTATAGTTTGTCTTCTCTATCTTTCTTTTCAAGCAATCAAAACTCAAACACCAAATTTTTTTTTCAAATTTTTCTTTCTTAAGAATCCCTTAAGGATTCCTACCATTGGACATGAATATTTCTAAGAACCCTTAAGCAAATCCTTAGCTTTATATTTGTCAAAATTTATAATTAGAAAATTCTTAAGGATCCTTGAGAGATCCTTACCATTGGTGTTGCTCTAACGTCTCATATTTCAGATTGTTGAGTGGCTGGTTCATTTGTTATTGCATTTCAAAGTTTTGATCTTCATGGAGATTTAAATTATTTAGTTGGTGTTTTCTACAACGTAGACCTTGACTTGTTTTATCATACCAATTTCAAAGTAAACGAAAGTGATTACTCACTTAACGCATGTCACATGAATTTCAAGTGCTTTTATTAACATAAACTTCGACTTTTTAGAAATATATGAACATATATATCTTCAGATTATCAATAATGGAGATGAATATAGCTAGTTGATATTTCGACAATGATCATATTGTAAAGTACGATCTTTTGGCCTTACTTTATTTCAAAAATAAAGAATTTGACTAACTTGGAAGTCCTTGGCCTTGCTCGGAATTATTAGGTAGCTTGAACATGCTACATGCTCTTGATCTGTCATCCAACCAATTAAGTGGAAATCCAATTTGTAGGTTTTGGATTTTTCAGCTAATAGTATTGGTGATTTGAGAAACATTACTTATAGAATTTGCTTATATTTTTTTCTTTGTCAATATACACTTTGCTTATTGGGACTATGCTATTTTAGATTTTATATAAATTGTGTGAATTTATATATAACAAGTTCTAATATGTAACATTTTCATTTTCCCATATTTTATAAATTAGGTTTTATTATAAAAATATTAAAAACAAACAAAAAATTTATTAACATGTTTTGACTCGGTTAAACTCCAATTAGTTGATTTATGCGCTAAGGTCCTACTAAACACATAGTCCCACAACTAAGCATGTCAATCGGACTACTCCGGCCTGACCGTAAAACCCACATATATTTGAACCCGGCCCGGCCCTAACATGGCTATAGGGTTTTCCGGGCTTCTCTTTGAGAAAGGAAAACAAACTTTAAGTTTATAAAATCTCTTGAAAATAGTGACTCTATATATAAGATGAGCCAATGAAACCACTAGTATTCCTTGGGCAGGGGCCATGCTAATCTTCTCTGTATCATTCCAATTTTATCGGATGTCCCCGAAGGGACATATTTATTTTAAAAAAACCACTAGTATTCATTAAACACAACTTTATTTTAAAAAATAAAATTTAAAACCAAATAAATTGTTTAAACTTTACCAAATAAAACATAAAACAAAAGATTTCAAACTACATTATTTTGTAAAGCCAAGATTTGAATCCGCTTCAATGTATTCTAAATCTTCCTCTGCTTCATTGCATTCTAACAATTTTTTCGTCATTAAGTTCTATATATATATAAATAAAATTAAAATTTTGTTGAATTTTGTCATGTATAAATCATATAAAATATCGTAGATAAAATTTTTAAAAATATTAAGTAAATATGAATAACAATATAACATATAAATCCAACAAAACTAAATCTAAACAAAATATTTTTTTTAAGGGTTTTACGGGTGGGGTCGAATCCGGTCAGGCTAACCCCAAAAATCCTTTAATCCTAACATACTTAGTCCGGAAGGCACGATTTTTTTTGGACGTAGAAACTAAAGTCCAAGCTCAGTATTTTTCAAAGCTAAACCAGGTCATCCCGCGAGCTTTGGTTCTAATTAAAATGCCTACCTACAAGAAAGGTCTGGCGGGTTTAATGGGCCCGTAACTAAACGGGTCTTGACTCCCTTTTCCCCTCAACCTCTCCTTCTAATCCCATTCTGCGTCTCGCTCGAGCTCGCAGGCCAATCACTGTTTTAAACTATTGACGTTAGCCTATATAATTCTGTCCGCGTCGGTGGTGTTTTTCATGGCAATGGGATCTAGGGTATTTTCCCGAGTCAAAATGGTGCTAGAAAATGAGAAAATGATGTCGTTTCAATTTTGGCCGTAACTCTGAAGACCGTTGACGGCTGGTCGTTTGTTATTCTTATTGCAATTCAAAGGTTAGATCTTTATGGAGATTCAAATTATCAGTTGGTATTCATGGTCAAACCTGATATGCGTGATGTTACTGTTGTGTTGGGGCATCTTTGTCTCATAGCTGATTTACTGTCGTTTGCTCCACTTGACTTTGGTTATTTCGTGGTATATGTATATACGGGTCTTAAGCCATATATCATCCATTTTTTTTTTTTTTTGATAAACCCTATCGGCTATCCGGTCGGCCCTGGTAGGAACGCACCGAGGTGCTACATAGTGGACTGGTCCACCGTGTTAACGGCTAGGTCATTCGGGCTACTACTCTGCCTATCCCGAGTTTGGATGCCTTACGACTAAGTGCTAGAGGGTAGTCAGACCGGCTGCATTTCTGACTACCAGGTAAACCAATTGGGCCAAAGCCCAACTGACAGACTACCCACAATAATGTTGATAACAGCAGGTGGAGTCGAAACCGGAGTGAAGAGAATTTCACCCAAACAACCAGGGCCCACCAACCACTCGCCCACCCCCATGTGGGTATATATCATTCAATTATGGTTGTTTTCCACAAAAACCTAGACTTGGCTTGTTATACAATTCAAAGTAAATGATAATGATCACTCACAGACTTAATCCATGCCACATGACTTTTAAGTGCATTATTAATAAAAGACTACGACTTTTTAAAATATGCTTAATTCTTATAACCGTGGAGGAATTTGCATTGAACTCGCTCTCTCAAATTGATTTGGAGTTAAATTCTTTTTCTTGTTATCTTATTTGCAATGCATGAGTTTGATTTATGTGTTGTTAATTTTGTGAATCAAAGATTACACTTAAATGGGGGAGGAATGTTATAAATTTAAGTGTAAACCGACGGTTATTAATTAACCATTGCAACTATTCAATTTATGGTTATTATTTAAACGTACGGTTGCAAACGTACGTCACAATTTTTGAACCATATATAAACTTTGTTTCTCTTGTGTCAAAGAGAAATAAGAAGAGGAGAAAAGAGAGATTCACGAGACTAAAGATTGTCTTAATCTTTAGTGCAAAACACAAAAACAAAACACAAAAAGCTCTATTTGTTTCTCTTGTGTCTTAGCCTAGAACAAGAGAGAACTTTGATTGTCTTATCCTAGAAGGGATTTCGTGTAACCCAAGGCTTGAGAAGGGTCGAAATACTCTTTAAGGAAAGTGCTCTCGTGCGCGATTCAATCTCTATCCAAGTTCACGTTCGTTACGTCCCGGAGATACAACGTCTATACACAACAGGATACAAAAGCTGCATTGAGAAAGAAAGAAAAGCTTTGTTGGAGCTCAAAAACTCCATGATCTCAAGGCGTGTAATATCGGTCTTCGACTCTGTTCTCCCTTCTTGGAATAATGATACAAAGAGCGATTGTTGCCGATGGAAGGGAATTAAATGCAATCATACAAGCAGGCGGGTTATCGCGATCGAGCTTTTCTTTGAGGATAACGAGAGCCCTCTCCTAAATCTTTCTTTACTTCATCCGTTTGAGGAGCTTCGAAGTCTGAACTTATCACTTGGATACAATGGCGTCTTTGATGATATTGAAGGTACGCCAGACTTTTCACAGCATCTAGTTAATTTACCGTTGTGGTCTTTATTTGATAACATTTTTCCCTACCCTGTTACTTAGATTTTCCAATGCATCATAAGGTTATAGTACCGTTGGCTGATCCCTACAATATAAAATTACATCCAACGGTCAAATTCCACTTTTATCCCAATGTCCATATAGTTCAACTCTCTTAGATCCATTTTGCTAAAAATTATTACTGAAGTTATTGAAGTGATTAGGGTGGGCTATCTTATATTTGGTATATTTGTTAACAAGATTTTGTTTGCAGGTTATAAAAGCTTAAAGAGATTAAGAAACCTAGAGATTCTGTTTCTCTCTTATAATAGATTCAACAACAGCAGATTTCCCTTTCTTAATGCTGCTACATCACTTACAAGTCTTTATCTCCGGTACAACTCAATGGACCGCTCTTTTCCTTTTAAAGGTGTGTTTTAAATGATGTATCTTTGGTTCTAATATAATCGCTACAATTTGCTATCTATTTCCTTTAGTTCTAATCATTCTTATATTCTCATGAACTCCATTTCAGAGCTGAAAGATTTGACAAATTTGGAACTGCTAGATCTTAGTGGAAACAGATTTAACGGCTCCATGCCAGGTATAATCTACGTCAGTTATCACTGTACATAAATTCTTGTCTCTTTTTCTTTAGAGTAGAACATAATTTTTTAATTGGGTTATGTCATCATAAGATTATCCATATTAATTAGTGGTGTCTTTTTGTCTTGCAGCTGAGTTAGCTGAAAACTCTGAATCTAAGTTCAAATCGATTTTTTATGTCACTGGAATTCCAAGGCATGTTTTTTCTTTTAACTTTCTTTTTTTAGGAATGGAGACGAATATATCTTATTTATATTTTTTGGGCTCTTTTACTTTATTTCAGGTCTAAAGAATTTGACTAACTTAGAAGTCCTTAGTCTTGCTGAGAATATATATTCTCGACCAAGGACCTATACCAATAGAAGGTAACCATTGTTTGCTTCACCTCTAAGATTATCTATGTGAACAACTTAACATTTTACGTATGAGAAGGGTATTGTAAATTCTGAGAGGAATACAATTATTCTTATTATTCTTAATGTCATGTTGCTTTGCAAACTATCTTTTTTTTTTGCAGTAGTTTGTGAAATGAAGAATATGCGGGAGTTCGATCTCAGAGGAAATCATTTTGTAGGCCAGCTTCCTATTTGTTTAGGTAGCTTGAAGAAGCTACGGGTTCTTGATCTGTCATCCAACCAATTAAGTGGAAATCTACCATCTAGTTTCAGTAACCTTGAGTCCCTCGAATATCTATCATTGTTAGATAACAACT